AACTTAAAAAAGGTTTTATTTTTTATACTATAACTATTATAATTACCTACTAACACTATAAGGAGCAGATTAAGCTCTATGTAATAAACATAAGATATTATAACCTAATTCTAGGATAACTATAGCTGTATTAGCATAAGGTTGCCTTTAATTACTAAAAGTAAGTTCTAAACTTTAACTTTTTTTAATGCTAAAATATATGCTTACACTTACACCTAAACAACACTTAAATAGCACTTAATATAAAAGGTCTCTAGACCTACTCTTTAATAACCTAGAAAAGAACTACCTAAGTAAGGCTAATAAGCTAGGCCTTTTACTAAAATAGGCTATATAAAATAATTTAATAACTACTTAAACTTAAAGAAAAGAAAGCTTTTAAAAAACTTTTACTTACCTAATTTAAACATAAACTAGGACTTAAACAGCAGATAAACATCTGCTACATAGAACCTACTCTATTTATAACTCTAGCTTAATAACTAGATTATAAAATCTACGCAGTTATAATTTCTAATATAGACTAAGCTTTAGCTCTCTAAAAACACACTAACTTAAAGATAATAGTCTCTTAAGACTACTATAACTTATTATATGTCTTTTTCTAAGATAAGTCTAATAAGCTTCTAATATAACATCTATATAATTACTAAATAACTCTTAAGCCTAGTAAATAACCTAGTTATAGGCTACTATATAAGATGTTACTAAACAAATTAAAAGTGCTTTAAAAATACCTTAATAAGAACCTAAAAAAAAGGTTTATTTAAGCTAGCTTCTTACTAGTAGCGTTACTTATACTATTTATAAAGAAACTTAGAAGTAGGCTTTAATTCTATATTAACTACTAAAAACTAAACACTATTACTATTAAAAACTAATACTTAATTTCTTTTTTACAGGAAACTCTAAGCTAACTAAGTAAAGTAAAGTATTTTATAAAGTTAAATATTATTACTACTTTTAATAAGCTAAGAATAGTAAAGGGTAATAAGTAGCTAATAGTGTTTTAAACCTAATATAGACTATTTAAGTACTTAGTAATGCCCTTTAGCTTAGCTAACATGCCTAGTACTTTTTAACATTTTATAAACAACTTACTCTAACCCTACCTAGACGTGTTCTGCACTATGTATATTAATAATATTCTAATCTACAGTAATAGCCTTTTAGAGCATAAATAGCATGTACGCCTAGTGCTAAAGGCTATAAAAGAAGCAGGTCTATAACTTAATATAGACAAATGCAAGTTCTACTAATTAAAGGTTATATATTTAAGATATGTAATCTTTATAGATAGCATTTAAATAGACCTTATTAAGGTTTAGACTATGCTAGATTAGTAATACCTAAAAAATGTAAAAGATGTTTAAGCCTTTATAAAATTTACTAACTTTTACTAATAATTTATTAACAACTTCTTATAGCTAGTAAGCCCTATAATTACACTTACTAAAAAAAAGGTTTAATTTAACTTTAACTTAAATTACTAATAGTCTTTTAACTAGCTAAAGAAAGCCTTTACTAAAGCCTTAATACTTTACTACTTTAACTTTAAACTACTAATACTTATAGAAGCTAATGCCTTAGACTACGTAGTAGTAGAAGTTCTTTCCTAGACTAAGCTAGACAGGACTATTAGGCCTATTACATACTTTTTAAAAAGAATAAGTTCTATAGAAGGTAATTATAAGATCTATAATAAAGAATTACTTACTATAGTACACTACTTTAAATAATAGCAACCTAAACTAGAAAGTGCAGCGCATCTAATATAGGTTCTATCTAACTATAAGAACTTGCAGTACTTTGTAACTATAAAATAACTTAGCTACTAATAAGCTTATTAGTCTAAATACTTGTCTTATTTTAATTTTAAGATTACTTATTATTCTAGTTAAAATAGAGGGAAACTAGATGCTCTTATAAGGTAATTCTAAAACATCCCTGCTTAAGAAGAAGTGTAAAAGGCTTAATACTAAACTTTACTTTAACCTAAGCTATTTTTAGACCTTAACTTAAACAAAATAAATTAGATAATTAATTAAATTATTACTAATAAGTATTTAAATAATAAATTTATCTAAGAAACCTTAGACCTGCTCTAAAACAGTGCTAGTTAGTTAAAAAAGGTAACACTAGCTAACTATAAAAACTAAAATAGTAAGCTATATTACTGTAACTAACTTATAATCCCTAATTTTAATAAACTAAGAATTAAACTACTCTAAATTATACACAACTTGCCTGTTAAAGGACACCTAGGCAGAGGAAAGACTTTTAACCTACTACAGAGAGAGTACTACTAGCCCTGCATGTTCTATACTGTACGCTAATACGTATTATGTTGCTATACTTGCTGTAAAGTAAAGGCCTTTTAAGAAAGATATAATAGCCTGCTTAAACTACTCCTAATTTCTAAATAAGCTTAAAAAGACATATTAATTAATTTTATTATAGACCTACCCCTATTTAAAGGGTATATAAATATTATAGTAGTTGTTAATTACTTAACTAAGTATTAACACTTAATACTATGTTCCTTTATAACTGCCCCTAATATAGCCTAGTTATTCTACTAATACATATAGGTTTACTATAGCCTGCCTAACATAATTATATTAGATAGAGGTACGCAGTTTGTCTTAGCCTTCTAGGATAAACTCTGTAAATAGCTTTAAATTATCCCCTATTTATCTACAGCTTTTTACCTAGAGACTAACAGCTAGACTAAGAATGTAAACACTATAATAGAATAAGTCTTATAAGCGTACACAAACTACTAGTAGGATAACTAGGTAAAATAGTTAGCTATAGCATAGTTTAAAGCTAATAACATAACATCTAAATTAACATAAGTATCTCTATTCTTAGTAAACTATAGATACTACTTCTAAATAAAATTTAAACTACTTATAAATACCCCCTAACTAACTTATTAATCTATATAAGTAATAAATGTAAACAGACTTATTAATAAGATCTAAAATATATCTAAATACATTTATAAAAAGCTTATATAGGCTTAAGCTTTTTAATAAGAGTACATAAACTAATTTTAAACTCCTGCCCTTATGTATGCAGCTAGCAAGAAGGTCTAGCTAGACGCTAGAAATATCTAAATAAACTAATAATTAAAGAAACTTAATTAAAAGAACTTTAGCCCTTTTATAGTAGCCTATATAGTCTTATTGCATGCTTACTAATTAATCCTACCTAACAGCATAAAGATACACCCTGTGTTCCATGTATTATTACTGCGCTAAGTAGCCTCTAAATCTAACTATCTACCTAGACAGCTAAACCTGCTA